ACAGATGCAACGACTCACGGCCTATCATTCACAAATTGTGCCGTATAGTCCATCAATAAACATTGCATTGTTCTCTCCCTCTCGCAGTCATACACGATTCGAACCAAGATTATATAGCAGAAGCTGACTATACCCAGTGGTGCTCAAGAAGCAATATTATATTACAGAGAAGCAAACCTCATTCCATAGCATGCCATTTTTACGCCGACGCATGATATAAGTAGCCATTTTCCAAAAGTTGTCTCAACACCTTTCTTGACTCTCAATCGCATAAAATTATGGAGTATAGCTTATTAGCTTTCATGGAACTAGATATTGCTATTAATATAAACTCATCCTCTCGAGCTAGTAAGGCCAGCCCCAATGCACCAACATGATTGTTGACCTCGCAGAATCGCATAGACTTGGATGCTGCGTGGAGGAAAGAGAGCGTGGCATGGTGATTTCGCAGTATAGCAGAGTTGCCTGCAGCCTACAGAAGCACTCGTAGCTTGGTCGATCAGAAAAGCAAAGGTTCAAGGAGATTGAAGAATATGTGTGACCGTGTGAGAGAAAGAGAGCTCATGATCCTGTTGTTGTGTCGGGTGTCCAGGTAAAGTAGCACCCTATTTGTTGCGTTACGACAATAGTTGTCCACTTGTTCAAAGCCTACCAGATCTTTTTTAAACATAGGTGTAAAGTTTTTTATGTTATATCGGGTATTACATGAGGTGTTGTATGGGATATTCGGATACTAATAAAAAAATAAATTACAGAATCCGTAAGTAAACCGCGAGACGAATTTATTAAGCCTAATTAATCCATCATTAGCATATGTCTTACTATAGCACCATATTGTCAAATCATGGACTATTTAGGCTTAAAAGATTCGTCTCGTAAAGTAGTCACAATCCGTATAATTAATTATTTTTTAGTTTATATTTAATACTTCATACATATATCAAACATTCTACGAGACATGATGTAAATTTTTAAGGAGAAACTAAACCACGCCTAAGACACAATAACTTTTTACACGAACCCTAGCTTATAGTGGTCCGCGTTGGTGCTGCTCTAAGCTACCCTAAGGCTAAGGGTCCAACCACGAGAGAGAGTGAGCATCTCTGAACCGGAACGTGCAGCTTTCCGAAATGCGACTAGCACGTGATTGTGAAAAAAGGGAAACATTAAGGACTTATTCGCGTACACATGAATCTTCCTCAATCCATTTCAATGTGAGAATTAAAGTAAATATATGTGCATCTAAAACAAGGCCTAGAGCGTAGTAAAGTTTTGTTGTAAACAAGGGCTAAAGCATACGTAATCAAGCATAGTTTTTATTCTTACATTGAGATGGTAAGTACTTGATTACGTATCGGTCTTCTAGATTTCTTCCACTTTGGCTTTGCCGTGACTCTTCTAATCTAAGGAACAAAAAGGGACGATAGATCGTGCACGTAAACCAGTTCATTTCTCCTCATCTCCAAAAGAGGAGTCCTAACAAAACATGACTGGCACATGCTGCTCCACCGCCGGCCACCGCTGCATCTAAAGTCAGAAGCGTGCCCTGACTGGCTGACTCCTGAGGACTTCGAACAAAGCTGCCCGCCCTGTTTTGGACAAAGCGTACGTTTCTTTGGTTCCTGACCAGCGACGACGTCAGGTTCATAGCAACAACTAGACCCAATCACGTTTCTACTACGTGAAAAAAAAGGTAAAAGTGTCCTGGTCTGCGGCCCCGTTCGCTTGAACTTACGCCCGTATCGTTTCAGTGAAATAATAATGTTTTTCTCTCACAACAAATTAATATCAACGTTAACATTAGTCGACCGTTTTTTAGCCAGCCGAAAAGGGTCTGCATTTCTGAACACTGACGCAGTTTACAGTTACACACTGATCATCGAGGGACATGCACAAGAACGATCTCCTGAGGACTTCCCCAACGCAATGAGCTGGCGTGCTGTCCCAACCACCACGTAGGCAGTGAACATCCATCTCCCATCTCTGATGGTGGTCTCGAGTTCTGTAGCATCCTGCAGAAGAGGCATTAGCTTGGTACGACGAAAAGAAGAGGCTATATTTTTCAACTAATAAATAGTTGTTTTCTCGCTTCTCAACAAGGGAACCAATATTACGACCACGGTTCTTTTCGATAAGTCTTAGCTTGGTCTGATAAAAAGAAGAGGTTATTATTAATTTGCGTTGGGAGGTTATTATTTGTAGCCTAAAAATGTAGATTATAAGGCAAACCAACATGGCGCATGCATGTGTAGTCAGAAAGGCTGAAAAGAAGAGGACAGTAAAAAGTGACGTTTGAAACCAAAGGATAAAAGCCTGCGTTGGGATATTGTATGCCTCAAAGTTTATAACCTAACGTGTAATGCTGAGGCCACCATTGATACGTGCCTGCGTTGGTCAAGCCCGGAGGGGTGCTCCGTTCACTAAAGTTTAGCTGTCAGAACAAATGTTCGATATCAATTAAAAGGACTAAATATGATATAAATATAAAACTAATTGTATAAACTATGACTAATTCATGAGATGAATTTATTAAACCTAATAAATTTATGATTATCATATGTTTACTATAGCATCATATTCGCTAATCATAGACTAAATAGACTTAATAGATTTGTATCATAAATTAATCTTCATTTATATAATTAATTTTATAATTAGTCTACTTATAATATCAAACATCCGATATATCACGTGGAACCAAACACCCACTGACTTGGCTAGCTCTATGCGAGCATCGTTTCTTCAGAGCAAGACCCAGACAGACCCTGCTTTTTATTCTGATGAGGACAACTCTCCCATCTTTCTTTTCACCTTATCGAGAAAATCTGGCTGTCGTAGGAGCAGTGACTTCGAAAGTGGATGTGAACTTTGAGCAATCAATTTGCGATGATGAAAATTTTGGTTGTAATTGTAAACAGAAGGGAACAGAGGACCCAGCTTGTTCATGGGCCCCTGGCTCGGCAGTCCAATTGACTGGCGTGGGCCGCATGGCACCTGGACTGTCGGGTCCGTCGACTCATAAAGGCAGACCAACAACCCCTTATGCTGTGCCCTCTGAACTCTGATCGTTGCATGTAGACAAGGGTCCAATCCTAAAAACAACTTTTGACTTGTAGATATGGGTACCAGTACCATGATATATAGATGACGAATCGATGATGCACCGACCAGTAGAGAAAGAAAGCTGCTCCTGTATTTCCTGGCGCATGTGTGTGCACGCACATGGAGAGAGAACTCTCTGAACTCGTCACCGAACGTACTGGCACCGGATTCCTGCGTTTGGATCAGCAGGTGACTTCACCGCGTTGACCTACAGGCCTGGTTCCTGGCGCCAGCCGGGGACTGGAGACCATACACGGCCGGACCGCCCGGACCCATGGAATTCCGGCATGGTTCTGCTCGCAATCATCCAGACGTGCGCACGCCCAGTGGCCATCCGCTCCCGTCTCTCTCACGCCGCATGACATCTCCGGCTGTCCGCGAGCCCCAATTCCAAGTCCAAACGCGACACCGACCCGGCGTGTGGTGTGGACGATGGGTACGTTCCTTTCCCCGGCCACGTACGCCGGTCGGCCGCGGGCGGCGGTCGTTGGCGCTGTCAGGCTCAGGCTCGGGCGCGCGCGAAACGTGCATGCTGAGCAAGCAAGCAGCAGTGATCTGACGATGATGAGGCAGCGACAGGCTCAGCTATAGCTCTCGTGCCAGATCCATCTCGTGTCTTCATATACATACTCCGATATATATATATGTGTGTGTGTGTGTGTGTGTGTGTGTGTGTAATTCTGCGCTGGGAACGAAGTGGTCGATGATGGCGGCGACGACAAGGACGCATGCACCGATCGACGGCGTACATACGCAGCCGTGCAATGGGCAATGGAAGGCGACCTAGCTGTGTTTGTGACAGTAATTCTACCGGGATACACCGGATATCCAGGATCCAGCTCGCTCCATTACTGGTGCGCGCGTGCGTGCGTATACGTAAACCTCGTGGCGACGTTGTCAGCAGTGACAATATATGAACCAGTGATAGATCTATCGGAGCCGGTCGGTGGAGGCCCAGGGGCAAGACAGTCACGCGGGCACACACGCAACATTCCGTTCGATCCATCGTCCTCGTCCTCTCCCATTGATGCGCGGCGGCCGTGCTGTACTCTCACGACGCGATGGCTACGGGTACCTGCTTCACTGTTCGCTCCACTGCTCGCGAGTCGCCAACGGCCGGCCAACGGGACGTTGCCGTCTAACAGGGAGATCCCAACCGTCGCCGGCCGGATCGGACGAGAGTGTGTGTCAGTCGTCGATCAGTGGCCGGATCAGAGTAAGTCGATGGACTACTACTACTGCATCGACGGATCAGGCCCGATCGATCCATCCAATAATTCCAGCCAGTCAGGAATGAGCCAGGCAGACAGGACATGATTGACTCGCGGGGGTTGGAAGTCGACACGGTACGTGCGCACACTTGGATCATGAGTTGACACGGAGCGCGCGCGCCTAGCCAGTAGCACAGCATCATTCGATCATCAGCTGAGCTGATGCTGATCATGACACAAACTTCTTGTTCATTGCTTTGCCTGCTTTAGGTCTTTAATGACAACATTATATATGGATAATGAAGAACAAAACGAGTACACAACTAGCTAGCTAGTAGTAGTAATTACATGCGATGCGAGGTCTAATAAAGCCCGGCCCGGCGATTAGTTGCTGTTGACACCTCCCCCGCATTTCTTGGTCCGGCTTGACTTCGTCTTCGCGGGGATGATCCGGATCCTTTTAGCCACGCGAACAAAATCACTACCACATCATCAAGAAACTTGGATGAGGTCGGGTTAATTTTTTTTTGATGAAAAGCTCGGGTTAATTAAATGAGATGATTATCATGTGTATTAAAAAAAGTTAAGTTACAGTAGTTTTGTAGTACTCCTAGTGTCCTCCTATACTGCATGGAATTGCAATTCAATATTAAAAAAATGCAATTCATCAGTTAGCCGTTGGCGGCCTTACTTCCACTTGAGATCCCCGGCGAGGAGGAGGTCGTCCTCCAGATCCTCGTACGCGACGACGTGGCCCGGGACGGCATTGGCGAGGTCGAGGTCGTTGTCGTCCTCGCCGCCGCGCTGGCGGTCGTGGTCGTCGGCGTCGGCGTCGACGAACATGCGGCGGAGCGTGCCCGCGAGGCTGCGGTACCCCGTGTGTCGGTTGAGGTGGACGCGGTGGCAGATGCAGCGCCCGTCCAGGGCCACGGTGACCGGCGGGACCACGCCCGCGGCAACGTCGTCGTCCTGCACCGACAGCGTCAGCAGCTTCCGCTGCGGCGGCTGCTGGGGCGGACCCGGCGCCGGGAGACGCCGCTTCGTGTGCTGCTCGAAGCTCCCACTCGCGCTGGCGCTGGCAGCGCCGCCGCTCATCGTGGTGGCGAGGGGGGTTTGACCTCGCCGGGCGGAGTGTCTGTGGTTGTGGTGGACAGAGGAGGGCTTTTCGAGGGGGAGAGAGGTGGGATGGGGAGTGAGGAACTAAGTGAGAGCACTTTCCTCTCGATGGTTAGTTGTGTTTTAGTGGGGCGCAGCTGCAGCTCGTGAGGATTTATAGGAGGTGGAGTGTGGACTGGACTTGTTTCTTGCTGAACCTGGCCGGTCGCCTGAGGAGTGAGGAGTGAGCGAACTGGTACAGTAGCTCAGTTCCCAACTGAAGCCGACGAATAGCCCAACCGGAACTGGCTGGCAGCGACAGTGTTGCTTACAAGTGAGAAAAAGGAGACCTAGCGATCGATCGGTGGATCGACCCGAGACACACTCACACACAAGTTCTCCTACATAAACAAAGCCCGGCCGGATCGGCGGCCGTGACCCGCTCTGCATCGATGGCCGCATGTTTTTATGGGGATTGAGAGAGCGATCGAGCGCGCACGTGTCGCCCGGTTCAAACTGAAGCCACCAGCCCACCACACACGTAGCCGCAGCCGTAGCGACCGAACCGGGGGCTTGTTCGTTCGTTCTCGGCTTCTCGCCGCACCCGCGTCGCGAGCGCGCGTGCGCCCGGGGGGATCCGAGGCGGGATCACGCGGCCACGGCACGACCGCGCGGCTAGCGGTTGCCGAACACGCCTCGATCGGGCGCTTTTGACTGGTCCGTCCGCTCGCCCCGCGTAGGTGCGCTGCGCACCTGACCGCCTGCTCCTGATCCTCCGCGGCGTGCGGCCTCCGACCCGACCTGGCTTCGGTGCTTGCATTGCTCCCTCACTTTCTCGATCCGGCCGGTAACGATCGAGCGAGGCTGCAACGCCCATATGCATGTCACGAGCAGGCGCAGCGGTGCACGGGGCCGGACGGATCGGATCGTGGATGGATCTGCTAGCTGCAGCAAGCGGGTACGAACGGAAGTACGAACACGCGCCGAGGCAGATTACTGTCGCGGTCCTGCGGCGCGCGCGACATGCATCGTTGTTTGCAAAACGGATGGATCATGGGCAGACGTGCGCTCGGCACTCGCACGATGGACAGGACACATGCAACCTCCGAATAAATCTCGGTGCTGCACCTGCACGACTGCACAACGATCGCTGCTTTTAGATCTCTCTCGCTTGGCTTTGGCTCCAAAGGTGCGCACAGCACGGGTACGTACGTGCGTACGTGACGTTCTAGTTCTACGGCGCATGCATGTATTTCCGCGCTGCTCACATGCGCCGAAGCGCCATACGTGTGCCTGCCTGCCTCTGATCCATCGGGATGCATGCATGACAGCTTGTTGTCAGCGCGCATTGACGGTTCATGCACGTACGTGCATACACCAGGCCACACACATTGATCAAGACTCGTCCGTATAGGTACGTACTCCTGCTATAGTATGCATGTGACACGGTCACAGAACAGCGTGTGTAGTCGCCATTCTGTACATGAGTACATCAGGACTGAAATACATGCCGCTACAACTAACTAAACCGGTTGCATTCGTACGGCCAATGAAATTGCACAATCACTAACCAACAATATTTTTCTCTTACACCAAATCAGCTAATAGTATTTTCAACCATGACTTATCAGTCAAACAAGCCCAAACAAACAAGACGATAATGTCAGTTTGATGCGGTACCTGCTTGTAGTGGGATATATATATATATATATATATATATATATATATATATATATATATATATATATATATATATATATATATATATATATATATATATATATATATATATAATAACTTATTCTATGGACACTTTGAGTTACGATAATTACTATGCTAATTAAGAAGATTACAACAACTTTTTACTAAGTGATTTACTATAATGTTATGGTAAATATCCTTATGTGTTATAATAACACAGCTATCGTAAATATGTATTCATTTTATGGTAAATTAGTATATAAAATTATTGTAAATGAAGTTGACTACAAAATAACTTATTCTATAGCCAAAATAACTTATTCTATATATATATATATATATATATATATATATATATATATATATATATATATATATATATATATATATACGCTGCTGCTGCTGCTGCTGCTGCTGCAAATAGTATATACAGTACTTAATAATTTTCTGCATCACGGGATCCATGCGCCGAAGCAACAAAGTGTCCTTCGTACACATGCATCCACACGCCTGCCCTCATGCATGTTTTCCTAGACCGATCGGTGTGTGCCGGCCGGCCGCGCACATGCACACCAGCACGACGAATGTTCTTCTGCGAGCGTACAGAGAGGCCGGCCGACGCCCGACGAGGCGGGCGCCGAGCGCAGGCCGCGCCACGCACGCCGCGCGCCGCGGAGCCGGTCGGGGTGCCTCGCCTGCGCGCGTCGGTGTCTGGACGGGCTGTCCGCCGCACGTGCACCGGTTGCGTGCGTCGCTCGCCTGTCTGCCCAGCCCGACGGCTTCGGGAGGCGATCGGGAGTGGACGAGACGACTGGACGCGGGCGCGGCGCTGCTGGTTGACGGACTGGGCGACTGCTGTGCTAGCTGCCGCAAAATATTTTTCTGGGATTCATGCCATGCCATGCACGGGACGGGAGCCCCGGGATGCGGATTCAGTGACTTTGCTTCGGCGAGTCACGTCGTAACTTTACTCCTGCCATCCACCCTCCAATCAATATCCAAGAGCCAGATCGATTCGAGGCTCTCTTTTTTCATGCGACGCAACCTTTGCGTTCCCTTCGCTCGCGCCGCAATGGCGTTCCGCGGGCGGCGCGCCCAGCCGTCCTGCCTGAGCTCTTCGTCGGTCGTCTCGCAGGATGTCCAACAGCAGCGGATGAGGCCGCGGGACATGGCCGTCGACAGGCAGCGCGCCATGCGCGTCCCGGCGTCGGTCTTGCCTGACCGCCTCCCACGCGTCCTCCTTCACGGCGTTCACGTCCCTGGCGACAACGCACCCGGCGACAGACAACGACGCCGAACGTCCCTCGGTGGCAACGCACCCGGCGACTAAGACACCGAACGTCGCGACGTCCCACGGGCACCACACGCGCTCCATGGCCCCCGAGCATCTGGCGTGCGGCGGCTTCGTCGACCCTCCCGCAGCACACCGTGGTAACATCTTAGACGACGCTCGAGCTCTAGGAAGACTGGGCGATGTCATCGGCGTCCATACGCTTCGCGACGACCTCGTACGACTCGGCCGCCATCTCCTCGAGCAGGAGCGCGCCATGACGGCGCATGTCGTCCTGCAACGCCGAAGGAGCATGGATGTGAGGATGCGTGCGGAAGGTGGCAAACTAGCACTAGCAGCGTCGGGGGGCGCGTGTGCTCACCAAGGCCACGCTCGTGCTACTGATGGACTGGGTTGTGTTGGAGTCGTTCCGACCATGGTCTACACCGGCGTGAAGGCGCACAAGGCCGGTAGGACCAGCTGTATGGGCCCTCGACAATGCGGCGACACTGCGCGGCGGACGCGGACTCACTGATGGCTCAGAGGACGCGCACGAGCTTGGTGGTGGATACGCCGGTGCCGTCGGCGTCGGAGAAACCGAAGGCGTCGCGCAGGTCCTCGACGGCTGCTGCGTCGCCCGCGACGGTGGCGTTGAGCGCCGCGAACTCGTCCAGGCTGATGAAGCCGCCGCGGCGCCACCTCGTATTGCACAAGCGCGTCCAACAGGTACTCGCCAGGGGACACCGCCGACGCCGCTGGTACTACGAAGTACGAACGCGGCCGACGCCTTCCCAGATGCACCGGCCACATCTCAGAGCATCTCAGAGAACCTAATAATTTCTTCCTAAAATGATGATGTTTTCCAACTCCTACAAATATATTAGAAGGAATAAATAAGGCTATCTTGGACGGTTTCTAATAATTTAGTCCTAAAATATCAAATCTTGGTCCACAGGAATTTTTCTTCGCGACATTTTCCTTTTTTTCGCGCTGACATCGCAAGGGTCGCATCGGCCGCCGCCCCCCAGCACTCCACGGCCGCAACCTGCAGCCGGCCTGAAGGAGCCAACGGCCGGCCATCCGCCATCCTGCAGCAGACACAGGCAGGCAGCAGCAGGTTTCTGCCGGCCAGCACTAGCAGTCTACTAGCAGGCACAGGCAACAGCAGCTTTCTGCCGGCCACCAGCGGCAGGCACAGGCAGGCAGCAGCCCCCGCCGGCCAGCAGCGGCGGGCACAGGCAGCACCAGCCCCCTGCTGGCACAGGCACGCAGCAGAGAACGAGGATCGCTCGCGTGGACAGGATACGCGCGACCTCTACGCGCGCGCATCTTTACGCGGAACCGGTTGATTTTTCCCGACTCCTAAACAAAGATTAGAAGAAGGTCTAGGGAACTCTTGGAGATGCTAATCCTCGATCTAGCAGACGCACACGGAAAAAAATTCTAGTCCTGGCTCCTTTTGGCCTGCAAGATGGTAGCCCTTGGATCTTAGTTGGAGGGTAGATGGAGAGAGTAAAGTTACGTTGTAATTTGCTTGAGTAAAGTCACTGAATCTGCATCCACGGGAGGGTGGGCGGCTTGCTTGCTTCGGCTTCACTGTTATTTTTTTTTCTCCCCCTCGTCGCTGCTGATTTATAATGTTTCGGTTGAATGATACTCCTACTTCCCTTCTCTCTTTTCTTTCGTTTCATTTTTGACTTATTATGGGAACCTAGAAAATAAGCGCAAAGACACGATTTTTGTCGGTGATGTTGACTCGGCTCGACATGTTTTACCTTTCAACGACCTCGCTATTTGGTCCATATAGGTGTTGCGTTTTTTTCCTCCTCGTCTTCCTATTTTAACTCCACGTGCCTAGAATTTTATTGACTTTTTTGGGGTGATTGGTAAGTGCCACAACGAGCGATGGCAAAACCACAGACTCTCCCTTTGCTCCAAATCTCCAATAAATCATTTTTTGTCATAAGTCAAATTTCTCTAACTTAATCAAAAGTTTAGAAACATATCTATCTCTATCTCTCTTCTCTTC